TCCCTGGTGACTTCCTGCCCTTGGGCGCATCCACTTGAGTGCACAGGTGCCTCTTGCCCCCCTTTAGACCCCTTTGAGGTGGGGCAACAGGCACATGTGGGAACAAAAAAATGTTCCCCGCACTGCAAGTTTGCAACGCGGGGAAAAAATTAAACTCCTGAATATCCAGGGGTGTAAAAAAAGCGAAGTATAAAAAAGTGGGGCAGGGCCCTGAGGCAACCAGAGGTTAGGTCCTCCAAAGAGACTCTCTGGCTGCCAGAGTGTTTCTATGGTTGCCCCTCACCCTGGTGCTGAAACATGTGGCTGGTAAGGCTGCGTGTTTCAGCACAAGGGCTCCGGTGCCAGTGAGTAAGGGGTCGGGGGGGGTTGGAGGAGGGGAAAGGGACTGTGAGGGGGACCCCTGATAGCCCCGCCCACTCCCTAGACCCCCCTCCCCCTGCTTCTAAGGTAAGCAGAGGCTTTTTTTCCCCATTTTTTTCTGTTCTTTTTCTGGTTTTTTTTTTTAAAGTGATGGCGCCTGGGGTTGTGGGGGTAGCCTTGGGGGCCTGGTGGTGCAAGTTGGGGGCTGGGGCTGGATGGGGCAGCCATTGGGGGGCTGCAGCAGCTGGTGGGGGATGGGGCCAGGTGGGGCAGCAATTGAGGGTCTGGGGTGGGGCATGTGGGCCTTGCAGGGGGAGTGGTAGCTTCTGCAGGGGCCATTTGGCCCCCGTTGCGGGGCTGTACCTCTTGTGAGAGTTCCAAAACCCCTTTTGGGGGGCTGAATTCCCTTTTGTGGGGCCAAACCCTTTGTGTGGGGGATGAACCCCCTGTTGGGGGGCTGAACCCCCTGTTGGGAGGGTGTAGCCCTTGTGTGGGGGCTGGACCCTCTGTTGGGGGGCCGTAGCCCTTGTGTGGGGGACGAACCCCTTGTGTGGGGGCCTTCGCCCTGTGGGAGAGCAGCAAAATATGTATTCATGAATTCATGAAACCTGTATTTAAGGTTCACTTTATTATTATAAGAGACTTGCTTTAACACTGTAGATATATGAATGAACATTTTCCAACTGATCGCTGTCTCTGTTTCATTCTCTCCTTATAGTGGTCTTTTGTTTTACTTGGGGAGGAACTTGGATTTGGGGGTATTTTAGAGAGTGATTTGGGGATTTTTTTTATCAGGGATTTTTCAGTTTTCCAATAGGGAACACCAGAATTCCACTAGGGAGGCCAGTGGCAGGACCCTGCTTGCTCAGAGCTGGTACCTTGGACCCATCTGGCTGTGGCTGACCTCCTGGACAAATGGGTCCAGGAGGACATGCTTTGATAGTTCAAAGCAGGCCACCACACCTGAAACATCTGCTGGGCGATAGCTGCCCAGATGGCCAGGCAGGGGCACACATGGCAGTAGTGCCGCACAAAGGCCAACCCTGCAACCGCAGTCCACTGGCAGCTGGCCAAGGGAGGCAGATACCTCTACTGGCTCTGCAGTCCCTATCCGAGTCTGGCAAGTGCACAGCAGGTCACAGCCAGGCAGCAACCCTCTGTGCCAGACTGCTGCAGTGGGTAGAGGGTGCAGAGAAGTCTCAATGCTGCTGCAGCAGTCCAGGTGGCACAAGGGGTAGTGTCCATAGCTACCAATTGGCTGGGCTCCAGAAGCTCCTGAGAGCTAGTAGCCCTGAGCTACTAGCCAAGGTGGCTTTTTATACTGCTGGGGCCAGGACAGGGAAGCTTTTTATACTGCTGGGGACAGCACAGGTGCTGGCCCGGGGATCTAGCTCCCCCTGGCTGAAGATGCCAGGCAGGGTTATTTTTCCCCCAGTAGCACAATTTGCTCCACAACAAAGCGCATGTCCGAGCACGTATGCTGAGGCAAAAAGCCCTGGCTCAAATTTGCACCACTTCTATTTGAGCTGCTGCAATTGCATGTATTTGCATGTATGGATGTGCCCCATGGGAAGGGGGCTGGACTCAATAATCCTCTGGGGTCCCTTCCAGCCCAAATGTCTATGAAATCTATGGATCTATGAAACTTAAATTATTAAAAACAGGCTAGTACTTGAGAGTGACCTCTGGCTCTATCATTATTAAAAATAGGAGCAGTAACATCATCATCATCATGAGAAAAATTTGCATTTCAATGGAGGTCTATTAGAAAGACCCAGTTCATCAAAGTATTCAAGTGCATGCTTAACTCTATATTCATTCAGCACAGCTCTTAGGAATATGCTTACCTTTAAGCATGTGTTAAAGTGCTACTGAATTCAATGGACCACCCTGAATAAGGATAGGGTTCTAAATCCGTCATAAAGACAGTCTATACATCTGTCATTTATGGCCTAATGCAATGCAAAGATCTTTGAAGTCTACAGAAGGGCTTCCATTGACTTAAGAGGGCTTTTTGGCTCTGTTGACTATTCCTGACAGCTTTGGCATCATTAAGCTGATGATGTTCAGGATTTTGAAAACAGCCTAAAGGAGTTCGGTGCCTACCTTCCATAGTCATTCAAACTGATTTGGGTATCTAACTCCCTTAAGCTTCTTTCATAATTTCAGTTTATATTATGTCAGTTTTGTGCCAACAGCTCTAATGTACATTCAAGAAAATATCTCTGCCTGGTGAATTGGCAGTTACGTACTGGAAAAGAGATACTCTATTTTTATTATTTATTTCTGGTATTCAGGGTTAGAACAACAAGGGGGACATAGGTATCATGACATTGAGCACTGCAGTACCTAACTTTTAGGGGGCCTACCCACCTATTGGGACTGACAGTGTTCAAGAGCGATGGTCTCCCCATGCATTGTACGTGGAGCCCAGGCATGTCTTCATTGGGACACTGGAAGAAAGAGACCTTAGAAATTAGTGAAGTGCTCAGTCGAGGAAGGACTAGAATCTTGGTCTCAGCTTCCCTAACCATGGAGTTAGAAAGTTCTGCTCTTATTTTCTGGTCCATAAGCGCTTAATTGTTCCATGAAAAGCAGAATACTTTCAGCAGGTGGATAGGAAGGCACCACACTTTTGCCATCACAGATTAGCCTCATTTTTGAGGTAATCCACTGGGCAATGTCAGATGCACACTCCAGTCTCCACAAGGCAGAATGGACATTTTGTGAGTAGTTTGGTACATCAAACTCCGGAGTACACCAGTAAACAACTGCCAGGTCAGGTCTTGCAAGTGGGAGCTGCTCAGCCCCATCAACGCTGAGCTGCTAAAGCTGCTAATAAAAGATATCATCTCTCTTACAAGTCCTGATTGCCTTTTCCTCTAGACCAACACAGCTACAACCTGGATACCTGAGCTCCTAAAAGGGAACCTTCTAATTCTAATATAAAAAACTGAAGTGCCTACAAATTTTCCATGGTTAAGTGGCAGCTGAGTGGCTCTTGAGGACCTAAATTCTGGTCTTAGGTACCTGCGGTGTCAGCATAACACCTTCTGTGAATCCAGGGCACAACGGCTTTCTGGGCCTTGGCTCTCTGCTCATAATTAACTTGTCCGGCTCCTTTGCTTCCAAGAAAAATGACATTTCTGTACCTCGGTGCCTGCAGCCCAGAAAGGACATTCATTTGAGTGTTCTCCTAGCCATTTTCTGGATGCTTGTATCTGAAACTGAATGAAAGGAGGCATTTAAGAAAAGTAATCGGACTTTTACATAATTTGTGATTTCTCCAATTTATATACTGACAGGATCATACTAGTCGGTAAATTTAAGAGGGAAAATGGGAGATGCTGGACTTCCCTCTCCTGTGTTCCTATGGACACTCAGATAGTGCTTACACAAATCTAAAGAGAACAAACCCTCGCTGGACACCAGATGCAACCTCGTACCCAGTATTATTGAAGCTTCTTTCATTTGCTCAGCTGCACGCAGTTAGAGTACAAGTGGCATATGTGTGTGCACCATTTCCACCACATGAAGTGCAACAGAGGGCAAGGGCTCAGGTTACTTTCAGTGAGGGATTGGGGAGCTGTGCCATTTGGCCCTTGTTGAAGAATCCAAGGTCCGTTCAGGGAAACACCTTTGTGCAAAACCCGTGCGACATCACCACCTGCCCTACAAGCTACAGGACAGCCCTGATTATCATTGAAGTCTGGCTCTTCCTGGGCCTTCATCTTCAACTGTGTGCAGAACAAAATGAGAGAAACTAAGGACCTGATTTCATGTCCATTGGAATAAAGCAGCCTTTCTTCTGACTTCGGTCTGCCCGCAAAACGGCTCCGCAATTTCTAAGCAGAGAATTACATGTGCAAGTTAAATCCCGTAGGAGGCAGAATAATTTTCTTCAGATATTTTTTAAAGGTAATCTATCAAATTTTGCTCCTGATACACGACTCACCTTTGCTAAGGAATCAGTAGAGGAAGCAACGAACTGTGATTGGGAAGCACGTAATGGGAACAGGAGGCAATGTGTGTTGGTGAGTGACAGGGCAGAGGCTGTGTGTGTGCATGCGTGTTTGTGAGGCTGGTGAGTGTAGGAGAGGAGGCAGAGATGGGGCACACGGCAAGACAAGCGCTGTGACAGCTGGGGAGAAACTGAAGTATGGGAGATAAAAGAATGAGGGTGCAACTGCGTGAGCCAGAATGAGGGAGAGTAAGAGAAAAAATGGACAATCATCCCAGGGGGTTGAATGGGAGAGGAATGGGACAGATACAACAGAAGGAAGGAAACAAAATGTGTGAATGAACAGGATAAAAGCAATCTAGTAACATCATGTGTGACGCATAACATGTTGGAATATATGGGCACATGCATGTAAGACATGGGATAGCCTGTCCTGGGAATGGACTCACCAAGAGCAGCACAATCCCCCAGGGACCGGCTCTGTTCTGCCAGCCTTTCCCACCTCTGCTCTCAGTCCTTGGAGCACAGCTCCCCCCTGGGATTCCCTACAACTTTAGGCTGTGCTGGGGGGAAAGGGCTGGCTGGTCCCCCCTGCTAGGTGTGGGGGAGCGTGTGCCCTGCTGGGGAGCCAGGCAGAGGGCGGATCCGCTGCCTGGGAGAGGAGGAGAGGAGCTGTGCTGAGCTCATTGTACTCGCCAGTCAGCTGCAGCCGGCAGCTCAGTCAGCTGATACAGGGCAGGCTTCTAGGCTCATTCACTCTTCTCTCTCTTCCCCAAGTGGATTAAAACTCTTGTTGCTGAGGTTCTGGGTCAGGAGGATTATTCAAAGTGATGTGGGCTTGAGGAATAATTTCAGTCACAAACTGGATTCTCCTACAACTTTCCTGAGCAGCTGCTCTTCAGTAAAGGATGGCTTCCAATTTTAATGACATAGTGAAGCAAGGGTATGTAAAGATTAGGAGCAGACGTTTAGGTGTAAGTATTTGTGCTTTCCCTTTTTTTCCTCCCTCTTCTTTTCTTTTCTTTTTTTTTTTGTTTGGCTTGTTGCGTGTTAAAGGCATTTACCTCCCTGTGTGCCAGGGCTGGAGACATGCAGTAGGCTCTGATGTGAAATTTTGCAAACTGTTCTCAAAGGCTGTCTCCAAAGCAAGCAAATTAATAAGAAGCAGACCAAGGAAAGGCTGTTTGGTTAAGTAGCCCATTGGCTTCCAGGGACATGTCAGCCCCCAATTCAGATCCTGACTGTGCCAATAGTGCTATAAATACAGAAACAGCTTGCAGTTCAGAGCAGTAGGCAGCTCTCTAAACAGATGCATTCTTGCCTCTTTGGAGATGGTAGAGCAGGACTTAGATGCTGTTCTGTGCAGGAAAACAAACAGGATCTCTGTTGCCAAAGGGCTCCAGTTCATTAGTGCCAATAACTTTCCACTTGAGCTGTGAGCCTCCTGGGACAAGGGGCAGCTGATCACTATATGCCGCTACAAAAGAATCTCCGTTGGAGAGCTGGCTTTTTGAAGCAACAAGGGAGGGATGCTGAGTTTGAAGAATATTTTTCATAGAGTTTTATTTCGTGATGGGGAGGGAAAAACTTTCAGCCAGGGCACTGGTGGATCTGGGACATGTGTGTTCAGTAAAATTTTTTTTAAGGTGAGCTCAGAGTGCCGGCGAGATCAATTCTTCCTCCCTGCCACGCAAACTTGTGCCATTCCGACCCAATCAAAGCTATGGCTATTGAAATCATTCATCATCTTGCCTTGGTTTGCAATTGCAGCCCTTCTGCTTCCCTCTGCACCGTTCTCTCCTATTGAATAGCCAGTGGCACATCTTAAATTTTTACTTTTGTGCTTTAAAAGCTTATGTTTGTCAAGAGAGGGAAGAGCACTCTGGGAAAGAGAGTTTAAAAACACTTTAAAAATAATACCAGTCTTTCACTGAGTCCTGTGAATGCAAACTATATTTGTAGTTTTTGTCTAACTGGCCACTCTTTTCTTTTTTTCATCGTAATGTGGTTATTATAAGGAAACATTCCTGGCTCCAGATGTAGGTATAATACCTTGTGTCAGCAAGCCAAGTCCAGACTGAGCCTATTTGGCTTTCATTCTGCTCAGTGTGGTTAGCTTCTATTAACACTGCCAAGGGAAATACCTATTTGTTTTCAAGGTGTTAAATCAAGACAAGCTACTTAAGAAGCTAGAGTTAATCAGTCTTCCAGGCTACAAAGCATATATCTTGTCTTATAAAACATACAAACTTGTTAGAAGATGGCTTGGGAAGGAGGGAAGGCTTTTCTTAATTTTTCTAGTGGATATGCTTGCCCTTCTGGTTCAGAGAAGTTTCTAACTCCTAGTTTTTGGTGTATCCTAATAGGAAGAACCTATGTGTTATTGAATCAGCAGCTCTTAATTATATATAGCATGAGGGTTTACTTCAAGATTTAAAGATGGAAGTTTCTGTTTAATGCCTATCTAAAAGGTTTTGTTGATTTATTGCTATTATAGGTTTTATTGGTCTATCCTAGCATGTACATATGCTTGTGGAAAGGCAGACACCTGAACAAGAATAACAGAAGGGTATGAATATTGTACACAGTTTGTGCTCTTTTGAAAGGACAGTACACACAATTCCATGCTATTTTTATGATATCTGTGAAACCTGTATACGGTATGTCCCTAGGCATCATCCCTTGAGCAGAAGGCTTTACTGTGGGGGAGTCGCAGGTGTATTGATCCTTACGTTGAGCCCTGATGGATCTGAATCTCCATGATTTTGTTCAGGGCTCTGGATCATTATTGTGGCAAACTTTGCTGGTATCCCCAAATTTAGAATTAGAAAATAATCACAATCTACACTCAGTAACATTTCCCACCAAAATGAACAAAGAATATCATGTAGAAAAACAGAGCAAAAAGCCTATAAATAATTGTAAGTAGTGTACTAGTTAATTAGATTGACATGCAAGCAAGCCCTGTCTACTCTAGAACAGTCAGTAGTATGACCATTAGACAGCACTTCCACTTACCAGAAAAGCCTCTGTAGTTCACCTTTGCTATAAGATAGTATTCTATGTCTTCCCATAGCAGGTTGGCTGGATAACTAAATAGCAAAAATAAAGAGACAAATGTAAAAACCACACAGTTCATCCCAAATGGAATTTGTGCTTTTATGAAGGTAGATTCCTTCATTTCATCTCATTCCCTTTGTCCTAAGCACTATTTTATTATTAAAATGAATCAAAGGAAGAACTTGTATCATATTAACTGATGATGCTGGTGTAAAGATAGGATAAAGAATTGCTTGCTTATATTGCTTGGAGACTTCAAAATGCCAAAAGTGAAACAGGCCCCAGCAAAGGCAATGACCTAAACTTAAACCAGAGTCCAAATTGTGACCTAAACTATTCCCATGATATTCCATTGCTTTTCCAACCCAATGGAGCATTTTAGGAGGAAAATAACTTGCTTCTGCTATCAGCTAAGGCAGGCAGGGGAGGATCACTTCTTTGATTAAAACCAGCAGATATCTGTGCTGAGGTGCTGAAGGTCCCAGGTTCAAACCCATGCACCTGAGCTGTTTTGCTGTGTATCACACTATCGCTGCAAATAACTTGAACTGTTCAAATGGAGATGACTGACAACTCCAGAAATAATTTCACAACTCCAGTGCAATGGGAGACTTTTCATATAATTTGCATTGGGTGTAAATGTCCTCGTACTTAAGAGCCAAGATTCACTTCAATGATGTGAAATCTGAGAACTTACTGTAATTACAATTATCCCAAGTACTTAAACATAGACCCATCTTGTATAGAGAGTGCTGCAATAGTCTAAAGATCATTGCCACTCCTATATCAAGTGTCAGCCAGGAACAATGCATTAAAATGATGCTTGCTCAGCAAAATCCTCTAATGGGTTATTTTCACGCTTGGATTGAACTAACTTGCTCTAGCAGTCTTTGAGCATCTCAGACTCTTCAAATGTTTTCATCCTTGTGACAACATGTGAGAGAGCTTGCTATTTTAATTTGCTACCATCCCATTTTACAGAAGGGAAAGTGGGGCGGGGAGGTTGGCTCATTCCTGGATTGGCTTTGTAAAAGAGAATTCAAGACTTGTTGGTCCAGAGAGACCAGGGCATTCTAACCTAGTGATCTGGGCACTTACTGGAGAGAAAGGAGACTTGGCTTTGGATCTCTGCTTTAGACATGTCCAGCGACTGTTGAGAGCCATGTAATGAGGATAACACTGAATGAACCTTTCTCACATCCCGGACCTTGAGCTATAGCATGAAAGACGGGTAGCACAGTGAATTTGGGTTCTCAGAATGAAAGTAGCTGTGGTTGCTGCATTTTTGAAGATCTCAAAACCTGTGGCTGCATGTTAGGGGTGCTCTGAGCTGGCCTCAGGACTTGCATGAAGGATTGCCTACTCTGAGCTTCTTGATCAGGGCAAAGCAGCTCCTCACCTGCCAAGATGGAGGCACTTGAGCTTGCACAGAAGTAGGTGCCCAGGAAATCGTCCTGCTGAAATTTTAGGTATGTCAAGAGATTACAGTTGCCTTGGGGGTAGGGGTGGATGGTTTTGAGGATCATACCTCACTTGCCAAAATCTGCCTAATCTCTGCTTTCGGTATCTTTAGTCCTATTGTGAATCTGTGTCTAAGTGACTTTCCTAAGGTCCCATGAGATCTGTGGAGAACAGGAACTTTAACCATGGTCTCCCAAGACCTAGGCTTGTGTCCTAATTGTTTCATCATCCTTCCTCAGCAGAAATCCAGCTCGTTCTTTCTTCTTTCCTCTTCCTCTGTTTGTAGTTTTAAGTCTTCTGGGTAGGTAATATCTGCCTCGGGGTGAGAGAGATTGAGTGAAATGGATTGTGGTTTGGGCCTGTTTTTAGTCGGATTTTTTTTTAACCGTTTGGCCATTAGAGCTAGGACCAGATTTTCAAAATATTTGCTTTCAATATCATTTCAGTGCCAAATGAGAAATGGGCTAATTTGAAATTCTGGCCCATGAGTAACTTTCTTCATGTGAGTGGTTCTACTGACTTAAGACAACTTGTTCGGAGAAAGAGCTGTAGGATCACGGCATTAGATTGCTTTGTTTTGGAAAAAAGGAAAACAAAGCTGAAATAAGTGCTTCATATTTCTATAGTGATATTATGATAGAAATGTGTAAGCATGCCTTATTTAGCCTAGGTTAAATGAATTTGGTAGTGGGAGGATATGTTTTGCCATCATTGGCTCCAACTCCATTTTTTTAATCCTAACTTTGTATGTTGGACAACTGCTGTGTATTCCTGATGTATTCTAGACTCAGATATACCAGCAGCCAGAATAGAGAAGCAAAATAGTTCAGGAAATGATTCTGGTGTTTATGGTAGAGATTTTACATTGCATGGCATTCTCTCCTATAAAATGGATTTGCAGAGAGAAACAATTTCTAATTTTTAATTTAGTCAAGAAACTTTCCCTTTTCTTTTATTGTGAGTTTCCATAAAAATGTCATTGAAAAAATGTAGACAGCATTATGAGTGATTTGAAAAAAAGTTTACTGATTTTTTTGTTTGTTTGCTTGCTTGCTTTACATTGACTTACTTTTTGCTTTTCAAAATTTAAGATCTTTTGTTTAGCTGTGGCTGGTTTTATAAACTATGTGATATTCACTTTTTGGACAAACTTTTATCAGGCATTGGATACAAGTGTTTATAGGATCTAAAATTTGCTTTTTTTGTGTCTATTGTAAGCAAAAAAATCTATTGTCTCCTGACATGAATGCTAACAAAACATCCATTTCACAAATCTTGAAGAAAAAGACAAAAAGAATGCAAATGCAGACTTTTTAAAGCCAGTTGGAAAGAATAGTCTATTCCAGTTTTTGCAAACTTGCTTCTCCCTCCTCACAGGACACTACAGAATAGAGTGAGCCAATGACTTAGCATGTGGTTGAGGAGCCTGGCAGTGTTCTTTTCTCTCTTTAAA